CATTTGAGAACACCTAAGCATTGGTTGAGTACGCCTAAGCATTGGTGAAGTACATTGATTGAGCAATGATTGAGCATAATTACAAAGGATTCCAAAGATGGAAGATTTCTACGGAAATCAATTTAAAACTCGGTAAAACTTTGAGAGATGGGATTTTTATGGTAGATTTTCCAAAGCTGGAGAGGATACCACTTCCGGATTGAAGACGAGAAGATTTGAAAATCGCTAAGCGTTGGGGTCTTCGACGACTTTCTCTAAGATTAAGAAGATTGTCATTTGATTTGAGAAGACGGCTCGTGATGTAGCGGTCTTCGATAGCTTTCTCTATGATTGTAGAGGTTATCACCTGATTTGAGAAGGCGGCTCGTGATGTAGCGGTCTTCGATAGCTTTCGCTATGATTATAGAGGTTATCATTTGATTTGAGAAGATAGCTCGTGATGTAGCGGTCTTCGATAGCTTTCGCTATGATCGTGGAGGTTATCATTTGATTTGAGAAGATGGCTCGTGATGTAGCGGTATTCGATAGCTTTCGCTATGATTGTGGAGGTTATCACTTGATTTGAGAAGATGGCTCGTGATGTAGCGGTCTTCGACGACTTTCGCTATGATTGTGGAGGTTGTCACCCGATTTGAGAAGATAGCTCGTGATGTAGCAGTCTTTGACAGCATTACCTAAGATTGAGGAAGTTGTCACTTGATTTGAGAAGAAGGTGCGAGATGTGCCGATCTTCGACGGCGTTCACTAAGATTGTGGAGGTTGTTAAACAAAACAAATTGGATCTACGAGATGTCACCCAGAGACGTGTACCTGACAGTGCAAGATACGCGTTTCTAACTCCTTTATTTGTAGAATTAACACTTTCTGCAGGTATCAGCGTTAAAAAGAGTGATTTAGGATCGTAGAACGTTTTGAATCATTCTCCATCCCTATCGATCTACTTTGACTAGCGTTTTCGAAACTTGCGTTTCTCCAAACTCAGTCAAAGTGGGGGCTTCTGTAGACACCTGATTGGGTCTCCCCAAAAATCAAACCTAGTGATGAGTACCTTTCACGCCTTTGATTATCGAGTTAGGTGAAAGAGTTGAAGAGTCTCGTGAATTCCCTTTAGCCTTGACCATTTCTAACATTTCCTTAAATATTTTAATCCAAGATCATTCATTTCGTGCCCCTTAAGATCATTCATTTTGTGCCCCTTAAGATCATTCATTTCGTGTCCAAACTTTAAAAACGTCCAAACCAGATTATTTTGGTCCATGATTCTGGTCCAATTATTATTTAGTTGTATGGGGCTTGAAAAGTGTTTTCCAACGATATATTATAAGCCCAAATCCGACTATAACGAAGAAATTATGGCCAAATACTAAACCGAGTCCATTAACCTTAACCTCATTCCTAATCCAATTAGGATTTATTACAAGGTTCCAGAATTCTCTATAAGGTTGTTTTCGATCCTATGTCCCTTAGGATTTATTGTTATCTTCTAGAATCCTGTAAAAAGTTCTAATTAATCCTGTTTTCGAAAAGATAAAGATTTAAGAATTTTACTTTGGGTAAAACCTTTGTTTTCTAATGATTTTAATCCCGGTCAAACTAGAATACATACAAAAATTCGATTAACCCAATTCCATTGGAAGATGGATTTCGTACAAATTCAATCTTTTCAAAAGACCATCGCTGAGCGACAGCACCATCGCGTCGCGATAAAGCTGTCGCGCCGCGATGGAATCTATTTTACTCCGAATCAAATTCTGACTCTTTTTTTTATCCCGACCTTCTTTTTTCCTTATAAATAGAGGTTGTTTCACCCCGTTTTCATTCACCAACAATCATCATCTCTTCCCCCTTTCTAAGCTAAAAGCTTATTTTCTCTCTTTCTTTCTAGCCTTAGCCTAAACACATCCCAACACCTTCTTGATATCACACACCATACCTCCATCACGAGCCTTGAATACTAAGCCAATCTCAAAGTTGCCTTCGACCTCGACGTGAAAGGTTGATATTTCTGAGGGTTTGTTCCCAAATCTATATTTCAATTCTATTTGATTTAATCTTTTTCAAAGTTACTAACGTGTCTATTGTTTTGATAGAAAGAGATACGAAGCATCAAAGTGAGTAGATCTACTATCCTTATTCCTCGATTTTAATTCCTAGTATCATGTTAGGATGTTTATTTTGATTCCTAGTATCATGTTTAGAGTGTTAATTAATATTTCTAATATCATGATTTCTAGTATCATGTTTAGGCTAAAGTTTGGATCTTTATTAGTGATATGCTAGGGTTTGTTATTAATCCGTTTAGTATCATGCCTAGGATCTTGCTATTAATGTTTTAGGATTATTATTATTATGATGATGATGATTTGTTGTGTCAATTAATTATATGTTGCTTGATTATTTGTGATATTATTGTTATTGCTTGATCACGCCCTCTTGCAGGTTTAGAGAGAATTTGTACTTGAAATCACGCTTAATAAGATAATTGATAAGTCGATTTTAGGTTAACATGATTTTAATTCAAGTGATCACCAATAGATTTATTTGTGCATTAATAATCAACCAACGTAGATTAAATATGCTTAGGATTAATTTATTGTGTGTATGTTGATCTGAAAGCGCACATGAATATCATAAGAATTAAGTAGAGGCCGATTTAGGGCGGGTTCAATCTCTTTTAGGATGGATTCGTACCATCAATTCTGCCAGATTGGGCCTGGTCAAAAGGACAGCGAGCTCGGCTGCTTTGCTTCATGGATTTGCATCTTAGGCTTTGCTCCTCCTTGGACTTAATTGGAACAAAATTAGTACTCCAAACAAATTGAGCCCTTAATCACCGAACCAAATTTAATTGGCTCGACCGTGAATTTCAAATATTATGGTCATAAAATACGATCATACTCCAATATTTTCATGGTGGCTCAATAAGCTCGGGAATTATCACAAATATGCAAATTCCTATTAATAATACCAACTCTACAAAAACACTAGGAAATGTATAATAGTAATAAAAATAGCTCCGTAGAGCTCAAATAAGCATAAATATGACCCTGGGACGAGGAATAAAAAAATATATAAAATAGACTCCTCAATAACATCCCAGGTATATGAAACCATATGATTAAATAAATCGATTCCTAATTTCTTGTGCAAATTTTTCCTATATATTATGTTTTATAAGTTAAATTTTAGTGATTTTGATTAAATTAAATTTTATTAATCAATCAATTAATAACAATGAAGGAGAGAAACATGAAAAGGGAAAGGAGAAGGAAAGGGAAAAGGGGTAATATTGAGTTTTTGAGAGGGTGCGTCAAGTAAAGAGAGGTTACGTTTAGCAATCATGTTTCTCTTAGGGATCTTTTGATGCATGAGATAAAAGAATAAGATAAATCAAAATTCCTACTAGGACTAATTACAAAAGACTAAGGCACAATATTTCCAATGTTTGCTATCCAAATTGTTACTTGATTTTCAACCTTGTAGATTTGGTGAGCTTGCTAATTGTTAATAGGCTAAAAAAAATTGAATATCCTCTTAGCTCTTCATATTGAAGTAATTAGAGGATTTAGGTATGTACATTGGAGTTCCAACGAACTATCACAACTAGTATTACAAGGGATACTTTTGAATAAATGTGTGAAAGAATTGATTGAAGATTTGTTGGTTGGAAACCTTAATATCTTTCGATAGTGGGAAGGATCACGCTAGCCAACTCTACCATTAGGAAAATGCATGGATTCCTATGCTCTGTAGACGAAAAAAATATCGAAGACAACTTATGATGATATAGACAAAAGGGCAAGAAGATTTGTATAGGGTGGGACTAAAGAGTAACGTCGCATACATCTTCTATCTAAGGATTGTTTGCGAAAATCAAAAGACCAAGGAGGATTGAAAATTAGGTCCTTCAGACAAGCAAATTCAACCTTTTAACGAAGTTAGGGTTAAGCGAGGGTACCCACTAATTCATGCTCTTTGGCTAAGAATCTTAAAAAGCAAATATTGCAAGGGGAGAATTGACATTGACATGTTTGAGCCTAAAGATAACAAACAAATTCAACCTTTTTATTGAACCTAGGTTGAGGGTGCTCACTAATTTGAAAGGTCTTTGGTCGAGAGTCTTAAGAGGCATATATCGCAAGGGGAGATGCGACATTGATGTGTTTGAGCCTAAAGCTAATATGTCAAACATGTGGAGTAGAATTACTAATAATGCTTAAATTTATATGAGGGTTCTAGAATGGTGATTGGTATTCGCCAGAAAACGCTATTTTGGGACCATCATATATATCGATGGGTCATGGAAAAACACTTTGATCGAGAGCTTGCATTTTACGAGTTACACACCCTAGTAGTGGACGTTGCTAATTTGCTATGTCCAGAGTAGTTTTTACCTTTATTATTGTGTGCTCTCTTTTTGGGCATAGCCATTTAGTTGTACCAAAAAATGAATATGTTGAATATCTATAATAAGAGTTCTATTGCGAAAGGTAAATTTAATAATCTAGCAATGATTTGATGACTAGAAGATTGTCTTTCAATAATGATTTTTAAATTGCTTTCGTCAATGACAAGTTTAATCCCACAATGAAGAGCAATAGCTTCTGCAACAAAGGACATCGAATATTCTAAGTTGTAGGAGCAGCTATTATTCAAGCTTACACGTATAATCCACACGTAATAATTAAGTTGCAATTATGACATCTTCTGTTAAGCATGGCAGAACTCCTCCCAGGCATGGACGAATCAGAAATCATTGACAAATATCTAACACAACTAACATAATAAGATCTTTTCAGATCGATCAGCAACAATATATATTTAGTTCGTCATTAAATTACAATCTCCATTAAAGCGAGACGAGATAATTTCAGACAGCAAATATACACTCGCAATCTAATCTCTCTTAGGGTTCATAATGGGAATAAACTAACAAGTATAATACCCTATATAAAGATTGTTTCCCACCAAACTTTCCATGCTTATTCTGTTTGTTTTCATTATTACATGATGACAATTTTGTTAAGTAAAACAAGCAAAAAGGGAGCTTGCGTTCACCTAAAAAAAATACCATACCACATTACCACTTTTCTTGGTTTCATCGGGTGTGACACGTGTATGTCTTCTCCCCTCCATTGTCACTTTCACCTTTAATTTCTCCCCTAATTATTTCCCATTTACTTGTTTTATCCGTTAAAATAAACAAATCTTTCAAATTTCCAAACTTTAATACACATTATATTAGTATCAATTACATTTCATTAATCAATTTTTTTTTAATTAATTACTAAAAAGCATTTTTCTTGCTTTAATTTCTGTTGCGTCTTCTTCTTCCCATTCTCTCCTTCTCTCAGCTCTTTTATACTGGTAAGCAACTCTGTCGCCTCATCTTCTAGCCCCTCTTTTTGGTTTATTTTTAATAGTAATTATTATTAATTATTAATGTATTTCATTTTTCTTGAATATTAATGATGAATTAAGCTGAGTTTCTTCATTTTATTATCTGGGTTTTTTCTGGGGTAGATTAATTTTGTGATTTGGTGAAGTTGAAAGGTACAGATGATTGAAGGGTGCAGAAAGATTGCCTCAGATCTGGGTAACATACAGTGGACTTTTTAATTTGGGAATAAGGGCATTCATGTGATTTTTTTTTTTTTTTTTTTTTTTAAATATAAATTTTGTTATTGTTAAAATTATCATGACACTTTGCTTTATCTCTAATTTTTGAGATTTTCGAAATCGTAAAAAAAAATTAAAAAAAAAAAAAAAAAAAAAAAAACATTCTTGTTGGGTTTTTTTTAATAATTTTCTGGGTTATTAATTGTTAGATTATTTGAAAGGATTTGAGTTCATTTGATTGATAAGGGTTAGTTGAAAAGAAATGGTGTTAGATTTATATGAAATGGAATTAGGAATTTAGTAAAAGTGTACAGGATTTATTGATGATAAACTGATAGAATTTTGTTTGATCTTTGTTGTTGTTTATTTTCTTGGGATTGAAGCTAATAACCGGTTGTTTGAGCAGTAATATTTGTGGGGAGTAGTGAGGGGAGAGAGGAAGGTGATTTTGAATAGATTTAGGTACCGCCTACTTGATGAACTTGATAGTTTTTGCCTTGGTGTTGAGTGATTGAGGAGTTGATTTGGTACCGGATTCCTTATCCGTGTTTTGTGATCAGCGCTTATGACTCATGCTAAAGTGGGAAGAAAGGTGAATTTGTGTTAATCGGTTTGTGATAGATGGAGTTTGTGGAGGAGATTCCGAAAGCAGTTAGTATGCCGTTAATGATTGGCAATCTTGTTAGTGAGGATAAGGCTATTAGTACGCCTCTGCAGCTCGCTGGGCTTGTGCTGAAAGCGAATTCGTATAGCCTGTCACCAGATAGACCTGAAACAAAAGCACTCTTGGTGCCTAGTATTGTTGGGAATAAGGTTTTTAATTGCAATGATCAGCCTGCCAAACTCAGTACATCTGTAGAATCTTTCTGTGTTAAGAATCACGAGGAAGAGCCTGAATTACTGAGGGTGGTGGTCTCCAATCATAGTTCTGGTGTTTCTAATGATATCATTGGTCAGGAAATCGGGGAAGAAGATTTTGTATCCTACTCACAGTCTTTGGCTAGTGAAAATAGCAGCAATTATGGTGAGGAATCCCTAGCTGCTGAGTCTAATTCTGATGCAAACTCACCAGCCTCAAGTGATACCGAGAAGAACACCCTATCAGTTGCTCCCCAAAAGTATAATACTATGGGATCAAATTCCATGTCGAAGCCTGTTAGAGATGTGTTTGCAGTTGCAGAAGATCTTGACGTGGACGATACTCGTCGACATGATCGAAATATGACGATGGGTCTTCTTGAAGCATCGCACGATAAAATCAATAGAACGAAGAGCAGCCATTGCATATTTGAAATGGGTTCTATACCTCTTTGGGGTTTCACATCTATTTGTGGGAGGAGACCAGAAATGGAAGATGCTCTTGCTGTTATACCATGTCTCCAAAAGCTGCCAATGAAAGTTTTGGCAGGAGACCACATGTTGAATGGAATGAGTCAGACTGCACATTTCTACGCTGTCTATGATGGACATGGAGGTTCTCAGGTAAATTCTATATTGATTTTTTTAATCTTTTGTTATTTTTCTCTATGAACTTGCTAATGTTACTTGTATCCATGATTTTGTTAAGAGAAAAATCCTTTGGAATATTGTATTTGTATATATAGTCTGTTTGGGACATCAAGTTGCTTTGTTTAAAGGTGCCAAAGTAAGTCTTTTTTTCATTAACTAGCTTGTGTGATGGGGTGTATAATTTCTACGCACAAATACTGGTGTATTGTTTCTTCAGTTTGCTACAGATGTATTTGGTCTATACTTGTGTCCGTGATGGTGTGATGCAATTAAGATTGACCAATTTCCGGACCTCTAGTTTATATTTGTCTTTCTTTTAATGTTGCAAGAATAGCGCTAATAGTTTTTGTATACAGAGGGTTATATTACGCAAATTTGTTGATCTTATTATGTGAATGTTTTTTTATTTAGGTTGCTAATTATTGCCGAGATCATCTCCATGTGGCATTGTCTGAAGAGATAGAATTTATGAAGAGGGGTTCCCAAAATGGAAGTTTTCTAGATAACTCAGAGGAGAAATGGGAAAAAGCATTCTTTCGTGCTTTTCATAAAATTGATGCTGAGGTTGGAGGAGTTCATCAAGGCCATGCTGGTGTGAATGATGATTCATCTGAGACTAGTCTTGAACCCATCGCACCTGAGACTGTTGGGTCAACAGCTATTGTGGCTGTTGTTTGCTCAACACATATCCTAGTAGCTAACTGTGGTGATTCAAGAGCAGTGCTATGTCGTGCAAAAGCACCTATGCCTTTGTCAGTTGATCATAAAGTGAGATATACGTTATGTTCTTGTCATTTTTTTTCCTCACTTCAGTAACTGCTAGGACATGATCATTGATTTCCATCTCACCTTTCATTTTGTTTTCAGCCTGACCGAAAAGATGAATTGGATAGGATAGAAGCTGCAGATGGAAAAGTCATACAATGGAATGGCTACCGTGTTTTTGGTGTTCTTGCAATGTCAAGGTCCATTGGTTAGTGATTTTACACCTTGCAAAGCTATTCTTGTCTCCCTTTGTTAACAGTACGTAATTTTGGGCTTCTTGCTGTATCAGGACTTTTTTGGTTATTGTTTTTGTCATGATACAAGAATCTTGCAATGTCTCACAATACTTTGATATAAAGATCATGGCTTCTGTTGCAGAATATCAAGCAACCAAATATCTAACCTTACCACTTTTGGCTAGCCTTTTTATCTAAACAGTCGGTGCATTTCATTTTGGGTTTAGTAGAATCCATTACAAATCAATGCAATAGATTAGAATGGGAGCAATGAGCTAACATCTTAAAAATAGATTCCATTGATGGCTTAGCTGCATGAATTATTAGCTAAATCTAGATGATTTATTAGACTGCGTAGTTACCTTATTTGTTAAATTAGGCAAAAAATGTACCACGTTCATTTTATAATTCACTTTTCTCTATTGGTGGGGCTGTTAGGGAATTAGGTAACACAAGATTAGATTTGTAATTTGTTGAGTCGTGTTTGCAACTTGCAAGTTCAACCAACTTTTTCGATTGTTTTATAAACTTTAGTAATTCTATACTCTATAGGAATCAGCATAGTGCTAATTTGGTTATTAAACAAATCAACCCCTGTATGAGCTTTGACTTTTCACGTGGAGATACTTGATTGGAGACTGTTCTATTATCCAGGATCTCTCTCTATGAAATTTGACTAGCTATGGATAAGACTGTTTTGATCACCAAAAACTGTACCTATAGTATGGGGGATGAATGTTGGGTTGATGTTGCCCCATCATGTCCAGACATTGAACATAGTAAAGTGCACAGGCAATGTTGGGTTTCTCAGTTATCAGTGTTGTTGTAATTGATAAATTCAACGTGTTCAGCTGTTGTACTTCAAACTCTTCCTTGAGTTAGTTATTCAGGGTATCATTTAGTGAATCTATTCAGATGATTCTGTTCTACAAGCATGCTTAAGAATGTCAACTAAATTGAAATCTTAGCCTTTTCAAGTCTAGTCTGTCTACTGTATGATGACCCTATCGGGTAATACCACTATGATATTAGCATGACAATAGCACTATTGGTAGCTAAATATGCAAATAGGGTATCTAATTATGCTTCTTATATTATTAATTAGTTACCTTTTTTATTGGTTGTGCTATTTACATTAATTGTTACACACTTACCCTTTTTATTAGATATGCTATATACAAATATATAATTAGTTACCAGATGCACGTCATGTGGTAATATGAAATAAGATCGTCGCATAATCGTTTTTGTGTTCACCTCACTTCATGAAAATGTTGCGATAGCACTGCATTCGTTCCAGTCGATGATGCACATTTGTCTCCACAGTTGTGTCCAGCATAGTGCTGTAGAGACTCCTTTTATTGAGCTACAGTGAGCTAGGAAAAAGAGAAACACTTATCTGTTACTCGTAAAACTTAGGATCAGCTGGAAGATCTAATAAGGGGGTGGTAGAAAGTTGATTGATTGCTTTACAACTTCTGATGATGTTGCCAGGTTCCAAATTCAGCAGTGAAAGATATATCGTGCCTGATGCATTAGTCAAACATGTGGGTTCCATTGCCACTTCTTCAAGAAAGTGCACACCAAGTATAAAAAAATGCTATTTTTCCTTTCATTTTTGCTTTTCTCCTTGGGTGCTCCACTTCTACATGGGTCCCTAGTATAATGGTAATAAACTCTATTCAGGGTAAGGGAATTTGAGTTATGTTTGGTTTCAAAATTATTTTTTTGGGAGCTGAATTTTATGTATTAGGGAAAACCTTTCAGAATCCAGCTTTCGAATGTCACTTTTCATTGTTTGGTTCCTTTGCTAAACATATTGGAGAGGAAGGGGGAGGAAGTGGAGGATAGGAAAAGGCATTCTTTGGAAAATATGGCATTGCTTTCTGAAATGTTTCCAACCTTGGAACTGAATTCTTCTTAACAAAAAATTCTGCTCTAATTTTCTAAGGAGGAATGTTTGAAATCTACTTTCTGAAAAGGTTCCATTCAAACACGTGTATTTTCCCATGTTAAGAAATTTCTGGGAAATGCTAAATATGTAATTGTGTTTAATAGAGCCTTCAGCCTTGTTTTCAAATTAAGGCCCCGTTTGGTTTGATGTAAAATATTTTCAATGGAAAACATATTTTCAAAGAAAACCACACTTGCAAGTTAGTTTTCCTTTGTTTAGTTCTTACAAGAAAAGTTAAAGAGAAATTAAAAATATGAGTGGAAATGTGGGGATGGATGAGAGGAAAATAAAAATGAGATAGGGAGGGAAATGTGGCTTCCCTTGTTTTGTAAAGGAAAATGTTTTCCACCATTATCGATATAATTTTCCACCATTGGGAAAATTATTTTCCACCCCTTACAAACCAAAGGAACCATAAAAGCATTTTACATCAAATCAAACGGGGCCTAAGTACTTTGTATATATTTGGTGGAATGAGATTAAACCTTGAAGACATGAGTTGTGTAAGTTGTTAGATTGGTGCAGTGATAGTGAAGTCGTGAATTTATGATACATATTGCCACTGACCATCGCGCTGCACTTGTTGTAGCTTTAAGAAATGCCTTGTTATAAACTCTAAGGTCCTGTCAGGTATAAAGGCTTACCCCTGGTTGCAGGTACATTCTGCATCCCTTTGCCTAGTCGAACAATGAGGTTTGAGGACCGCATGGATTATTTTTGTGGGGTTATAGTGTTAAAAAATTGTTATTCTATATAATTCGTATTCTATCAAGGTAATACTATGTTTCAATTCGCTTACACTTTTGCACTTTCATTTGCTTTTCCAGGGGATAGATATCTAAAGCCGTGGATTATTCCAGATCCAGAAGTAATGGTAATTCCTAGGTCGAAGGACGATGATTGCCTCATTTTAGCTAGTGACGGTTTATGGGATGTGCTGACGAATGAAGAAGCCTGTGAAGCAGCACGAAGGCGAATTTTGCTGTGGCATAAAAAGAATGGAGGCAGCATGTCCCTGGAGCGGGGAAAGAGTATTGATCCTGCTGCTCAAGCTGCAGCCGATTACCTTGCCAAGCTTGCTTTACAAAAGGGTAGCAAGGATAACATCACGGTTATCGTGGTGGATTTGAAACCTCTTAGGAAGTTGAAATGCAAAACTTAGAGGTAACACCGCCCTATTTGAGAGTGGAGTTAGTAATATTTTTTACAATCTTTTTTTTTACTCCCTAAGTCTTAGTTACGAGGTTTTCTCTTTGTTCTTCTTTAGACATGATATAGAAATATCATCTGAGCTATGTGGTAACAAATAGTCGAGTAGCTCCGTATAGTTTTTGTAAGGAGCTCCTGCAGTAGCATGATGTATATATGTTATGTATACCCAATTAGTGGAGTGGATGACATAAAATGTCATGCACGCACTGATAGTTTGATAATTAGCCTTGAGGGATCAATAAATTGTGCATTTTCTTTGCGAAGGTAATTGATTATTGATTGTGATAGTTATATTCACAAATAACAAGCACTATCCGTTCATTTTAAGTTGAGAAATTTGAATTTGTATGTGACTGAGTTATGGCTGTTGGTTGAATACTTGAATGGAATAATTAGTGAAGGGAGAAGAACCCATGGAGGGAAGTATATAAGAACATATGCACGCATTGGCACACTCTTTCTTTGCAGCACATTACTGGCCTTTGTGCTCTCTTAATATGTGAAGGATGCTGCCAACAATTCAACTTAGCTTTTGGTATGCCTCGCAAGAATGAAAAAAAAATCATTTCGCTGCACTTTTAGAGATGTTTCACTGGCTGTCAAATAATATACTGGAGTTTCAGTGGTACAAAATACCCCCTCAGTGGTACAAAATTCACTTTCAATGATAGTGGTTCATATTTTATTTTGGTCCTTTATGCATATGAATGCATGTCTGCAGAAAAAAAAAAGGTGGGTCTCACACCACATTTTTTCACTCGTCCTCTCTCTCTCTTCATTTACCTTTCCTATTTTTTTTAAGGAAAAATTGCTGTTAATATTCGCACATTTGGCCGGTTCACTGTTAATAATCACACCTTTTGATTATTATCTAATAATCTCACCTTTATAGGGTATTCTCTTTTATTGGTCCCTAACCGGTTGGTAACCGGTTTTGATAGGTTATGTTGCTACGTGTCACTTTGTGGTTGGTTGATTTTTAACTACCTCCGTTACATATTAGTAGCAACTTTTGCCATTTAGGGGGTACTACACATTAGTTGCAACTTTCTATTACTTTCTTTTTTTGGTAAATTTTTCATATAAAATTACTACTTTACCCTCTACTTAAAAAATCATAATCTCAAATACATATTATAATCTGATCACCTTAAACCATTTATCCAACATCATTTAATTAGTGATTCCCACTAAATTATATATTCACCAACCAACTTCATTCAGATTTGGGGAAATTTCAAAACCCTAGTTCATCTGGGTTCTTCTCCTTCCTCCATGAATTTCTCTTTCCTTCCTCCATGAATTTCTCTTTCCTTCCTCGATCTAACCCAGGTAACCTCACATTCGCTCTCTGATGTAACCCACAAAATTCCTCACAATCGCTCTCAAACCCACGAGGTCCTTAGAAAACCCACGAGTTCGTCACGAAATCGTCTCAAAACCTCACGAATTGCTCACAAAACCCACGAATTCCTCACAAAACCCACGAATTCCTCACGAATTCTTCACAAAAACCTCATGAAAACCTCACGATTTGCTCACAACAACCCACAAATTCCTCACAAATCCTCACAACCCACGAATTCCTCACAAATCCTCACAAAACCCACGACTTCCTCACAATACCCACAAAATCCTCAGATCTACACTTAATTATGGTGAACTTTTAGCCACTTACAAACGTAATCTTTGAGAGTGATTGCGATGATGAAATTGCGTTCCTTGTTAGGTTAATTGAGTCGATTGAGCAAGACACCCCCTGGGCGAAAAATTTCACATTCATAACAAAGGTCGTGACATTTTGAGTGAGCAATCGCTCATTGCTTTGGGGGAAAGTTCTCGGCGAGGTCGAGGATGAAAAAGAGGAAAAACGAGCAGTTAGGACTTTAAATTTGGTCGATTAAGGAAACAAAGGCTGAGGGGGGCGGTTCCAGTATTCGAAGGGTTTCGTGCTATCAAATTCGGAGAATGCATGGAAAGGGGGCTAAAATATGCGACCTCCTCCTACCCCTGGTCTGAATTTTGGAAAAAAATAAATGGTTAGATCGGGGCAAGTTGTTTATGAGGACGGGGTTCATCGTTCTAGCACTGTAACGGTGTTTAATTAAAAAAATAAACCGACAGATATTAAAAAAAATTCTGGTCCCCACTTTCCCTCTCCGCAATGTTTAATTGCTTGCATTTATTCTCTTAATCTTAGCTTACCAAATTTTGCAAAGTTGCCAATGTTATAACTAATAAAAAACGGAGGTAGTAAAAAAAAAATAAACTAAAACTTAATAAAAAAAACAGCCCACGCCAACCCTCTGGCAGCCGCAACACCCTCCCTCCCTCGGAGCGCCAGCCGAATTAGCCTCCCTCCCTCCCACAAGTGCCGGCCAACCTAGCCCCCTTTCCTTCCGTCGCTAACCACCCACACTCCTAAACATAACTCGTAAAACCCACCCCTCCCTTCGTTCCACCACCACGAAACATCCCCCCTCCCTTTCCCACACCCAAACGGCGAAGGGGGGCCATTTTGGGGTGTGGGAAAGTAAAGGTGGGTTGTTTCGTGGTGGTGGAACACAGGAGAGGTGGGTTTTACGGGGTGGGCTATAAGATTGTGGGTGGTTCATGGCGGGGGTATGGAAGGGGCGCGGCCATGGAGGTAGGTCGGCAGCGGTTTTCGTTGGGTGGGTGGGTGAAGACTAGGGAGGGGGGTTGTGGTAGTGGGAGGTGGGGAGGGGGTTTGCCGGAGTGGAGGTGGTGGTGGACTGGTGGGGGTTTGAGCTGGAGTAATTTTGTTTTTTTTTTTTTAATGTTTTAGACCAATGACATTAAATAATTTAAAAAAAAAAATTACCCAGCCTATTTGGTCACAAAGTGAAAATTTTGAGGTGGAGTTGGTACATCCAACCTCTCATTCTTAAAATAAAAAATAAATAAATAAAAGCGGAAAGAACGTAGTACTATTTCTAAAAAACATCCAGTTTTTGAGTCATTAAAATGAATAATTTGCTCCGTAATTGAAGGAGTTTGGCAATTATTTTCCATATTAATAGGATCTCAATTTTGAAATTTCTCCATATTTTTAATTTTTCGAATTTTTTAGAGAGAGAAATAGAAAACTTAAGAGAAAAATAGAAAATTTCTAGAGAGAGAAATTCCAAAGATCGAAGATGCCGGATGCGCATTCAGAATTTGTCATGATTTTGATCACTGCTTTTTAATGGTGTGACTGATGAATGTGTATGTTGAATTTGATATCAATGTGACAAAGGTTGAAGGTGATAATTTTTATAAAATATGTTATGTTCATTGTTTTTAATAACACTTATGTTCTTTTTGTATATCTTTTATGATCTTTAAATATACCCCTTATGTTCTTTTAATTTATCCCTTATGTAGTTTTTCTAAGTTTTTGTTCTTTTTGTTAATCTTATATGTGTTTTTAAGCCGATGTTCTTTGAATTCAGCCCTTATATTCTTTAAATTTACCTCATATGTTCTTTGAATTTAACTACTATGTTCTTTGAGGTATTGAGCAATACATAATTTATGTTTTAACTAGTTATTAACCCGGGCGATGCCCCGGATCAGAACACTATAAATTTATAAGTTTGATCGAAATTAAATTTAGAAGGTTATTGTGTTCAACAATATTTATAAGTGAATAAAAATATAATAGTTAATTTAAGATTAATGAGTGCTAGTTTTTATTCATTTTACTTTATATAATAAAATAATAACTTATGTAAATATTATTGTATTTTGTACAATTACTTGACCGAATCTTGAAAATTAGCTTCCAAAGAATCAATGACCATTAATGTGTGATTAATGTCTTACAAATTAAATTGTTAAATAATATGCAATTACTTATGAGTTATATTCAATGGGAAAATTAAATACAATTGAAGGTTACACATATGAAGAGTTTTAGGATGATAAATAATAGTAACACATAATGTAACATATAGCACTCATATGACGCCAAATCATAAAGAAGGGCGATGACACGTGGTAGTAGCATGTTGTCCCTTTGATTTTTAATATTATCATAGATTATAGATAGTACGCACAAATTAAAATAAGATCAATAATAATAATAATAATAATAATAATAATAATAATAAACATTTAGCTACTTAGCAGAATATATATAGTGAAGTTTATACACTATAACAGTATAACCTTGAGAGCTTTATATGTATATTTTACGTCCAATTAACTATATTGAGCTAATCAATGAAATCCCAGACTAAAATATACTTCATAGCTAATTCATACATATTATTACACAATCATTAAAACCAAAATGCTTGTAAAAGAAGTGTAAAACCAATATAGCTTAGGCTAAAGTGTATTTGCATTAATAAATCATAAATGTATAAAAACATGAAAACAGCACAAAACTTGTTCCAAGAGGCCAAGGTTAGTGAATCGTTTCCAACAATTATAATTTAAGTTTTATTATTTATAGGGATGAATTTGTTGACTAATTACTCACTCATTCATTGTTCAATTGTAGAATTCTAATTGATTGACAATTGATCATCGGTTACAAACGACTCCAATTCAAGCAATTCAATAATAATATAATTGTTCAATTCTTAATTAAGACCATTATAAATAATGTCGGTTACAAACTTTGAATTGGGAGAATTTTTTTTTTTTTTTTACTAATAATTGAAATATCATGTCGCTTATGTGGCAAGTTTATAAGTCAAAGAAAAATGATGTGGCGAAATGAAACAAAAAAAGTAACACATGGCGGAATTGCACTCCTTACCTTGGAGTTTTAATAATAATATAGATATATGTAGTTTTTAACGCCATTTTTAATTATTATAATATTAATTTTGAATATTATTTATTAATTTTGTGTTCTTTTAAAATATTAATTATCATTTAATAACTATGTATTCCGTATATTATTATTTTAAAATGAGAATCATGAAGGTTGATGACGATATTCTTTTGGGACCTCATCTATTGATGATTGATTTCCAAACCTAAAGAACATCCTTAGTATTAATAAAAAACATGATAATACTATATAATGAACATTATTTATATTTATTCACCATAATTTAAAGACAAAATTCAAAAAACATTTCACAATAAGCAATGAACATTATGTCACAAATAAAAATACATTACACTTACAATCAAAGAACATGGACATTTACAATCTAGTTTATCAAAATATTCAATAAAGATCATTATCTGGTATAATAATAATGGACATATGAAAAGAACATAGTGTTAATAGTTAATTGACAAACAAATATATAAAGTACATCATGTTT